AAGTTTGTCTCTGATGTTACGTTCTGAACAACACATCAGTTTGTGTTTTGTATGAATAGTTTTATACCAAAATAAGTACTTTTGCCAAAGAATTGTATCTAATGGGACATACCAAAGGGGGCCATCACTGAACCTGAGGATTAGATCCGGGAAAAACAAAATTCTTTTTCTATTATGCATTAACAGCTGGCTTTTGCAAGTTAACACTCAGGTTACTTTAATTTTTAATTCAGGTCTGGAACATTAAAAAAATCATCGTGCTTCTTACATCCGGGGACTCACAGTTTCCTGAGTGTATAGTTTTAGAGTTAAATAGTAAGTATGGGACTAGGTTATTACACAAAAAATTTCAGAGAGGTTTTTGTGCGGGAAATGGTGTGAGATCTCGGTACTCCTACCAAAAATACAAATGTATAGAAGAAATTACTTAAAGATATTCTATATTCAATCCAGCTTTTTGCTCTCCTTGTTTGTAAAATTAAAACTTATTTAAGCTTATTTCAACACTCATGATACTCCACGCAAAAAACCCCTATTTTTTTACTGCCTTTTTTTTTTCCTACTTGATGAAACTTTACCAAATGAGGAATCTAACCAAACTGCTACAACTCCCCAAAATACTCTCTGTACCTCTCAAGGTAAAGAGCTATGTGGATTCTCTTGGCCATTTTACTAGAGGAACTAAAAATCAGAAAATAAAATTTTTCAATCTGTCTTCGTAATACAGGATTAACGCAGTAGCAAGAATAAAACAGGGAAATGGAAAATCTCTATAGCTCATTAGCTCTTTCTCCAAATTAAGTATTAGTGGCAGCAACAAATGACAAACAACTCACGATTCTGCCACTCAAAGACTCAAAAGAGAGGGAATAGAAAAAGATGTACTTGAAATTAAAGATGGGAGGAAGTTTATTTGCTGGGATTGAAAAATTGAATGTCTCACCACGCTCTCTTATATAAGAGAATGAAAATACTCTGCAGACTCTTTCCAGAAAGCAGTCTTGGGGTATTATGTACAGCTTTAAAATAAAGACCATTCAAACTTTTTCACAGTTCAAACGATTAGAAGAGAGAAAAACTACCACTTTATGCTCTACATAGGTTGTAAATACTGGCTTAAATAGGAGATTTCAAGAAACTTCCTATGCATATGACTGTCAAAATTGCTCTCTTCTTCAGCAGACATTTCTGTTTTCTATGACTGGTAAAGTTCCACATTTTTTTATTCTAAAAACTACATCACATAATCTATTTCTAGTTTAAAACAACCAGAAATTGTGCAATTACAATGTATAGTTTAAATTAAAAAGCACTGATTGATTTCTCAGCTTACTGTTGCAGAAACCTCAGTTTCTATTCAGCTAAGATAGGAATCTCTCTGCATTTTATTTATGGCTACTCATAAATGCCTCATACACCATCTGAAGGATGCAAGGTTATATTTTTCTTTATTTCTATCACATTATTAATGTTTAGCTAGACCGTCACAGTAACTACTATTTTGCAATATCATGACATACCAATTACCAATGATTAAACACTTATTTCCCAAACTGGGTTGTATAACAATATTCACATTAAACAAAGATTATTTAATATTGCAAGCAAGTCCATGTTCTGAACTTCTTAGGATGTACATATCTGAGGAGATAAGAAGTGGCACTTGAGCTAACCAGAACTGGTGAAAATGCTACTGTATTGGGACACTGAAATAACTAAAGCCATACTACAAAAGTTCTGCTTTTGAAATAACTGCTTGCAGAGTTTGCATTATTTACATTTTCGTATTTACTATCATATTATATTTTATCACTATCAAACACTATGCAAAAAAAGAAAAGGAAAAAAAACAACACAAGAAATTGAAAACAAATATACAGTTAAAACAAGCCATTCATAACATTCTCCAAAGTTAAAAACTACACAGGCTGAACACTTAACATGTGCTTTTTGGCCAATGCTTAGCATGCCAAATTAAACAAAGAGAGTACTCCAATAAACAGTTTTTAAACAATAACATCAGAAATTATTATTTTCAATTATTTTAGCGACTAGTCATAATTCAGTGATAATTCTCTAACCCATCATATAAGCCTGCATTTAGTTCTGGGTAAATTAATTTATCATCACCCAACATCAATTAGTGTAATTCTGGAGCAATGTCCATAACAGCCTACTAAAAGACTTCCATTGACATCAATCAATTTTAGAATGAACCTTCTTACCTACCAGGTATCTTCTGTCATCGCCGTCTTCATTTTAACAATGTATGTAATGTAAAAAAATACAAAATAGGAGTGGTTTTCAATAAAAACTTACCCTATAAAAAGCAGTGGTCAGGGGTAGCAATGCTGCAGCAATGCTATATTCTTCTGAAGATGAACAATCCTTCAAGAAAAACATATGAAGAAAATAAGCAAAACCATTTTCAATGTTATGCATTATAATTTCATTTCAGTCCCTCTGATATCCTTCCTATACATAATGTAACTTTTAATCACTTGATATCATGTAAGAATAACATGTAAGAATAACATATGTTTATGTGTGTGCATGTCTGTATACATATACGTAACTTCCCTCGATTTCTGCTAGATAGGTATTGCCACGATTCTTCCCATTTAAGGAATTTATTAGCAGCTTTCTCACTCCCATGTCTGAAATACAATTTCACCAACATAGTTTACATATAAAAGGAAAGCATTCCTTGTTTAGGAAACAATAAAAAGGTAGCTTGCTTCCATTTGGGTTAACAGCAAATCTGACTAAAATGGAAGTGATGTGATGACCAAAGAATGTACTTTCAAAAAGCTTACACAAAGAAATTAACATTTATTTAATACGAAATAATCACCTCCACAGCCTCTACAAAAGTTTGGCACAAGGTTAACTTTAAAAGAAGATGAAAACCCATTCTCTTTACAGCCTCAGAATGCCTCATTCAACAGTCAAGTGTGTCATTTGTGTCTCTCTAGGCTGAAAAGGGCATGCCAAAGTAAATCAATTAGTAATTGCACTGATGAAAATAGTGATTTTATTATGGAAGTCTTTTAAAAGAAACCAGAATTAAAATGTAACTTAATATTTAAAAAAGAAACTACTTGAATCTTTGAGACTTTTTTAAAAAACATAGAACAAAAAATACTCAACAAGAGTTAAAGATGATACTTTTTTTTTTTAAAGTGACTAGATTTTTTTCATTAGCTCTTTTTGCCAACACTGCAGAACACAATAATGCACATAGTTCTTCTAGACAAATGTATCACCATTGTGTCCCTGGATGATGAATGGCAAAACAACGTTTCCATTTGAACAATTCATTTCAATATTTTTAACATTCATTCTTACAACGGGCACCCTCCAACTCAAACCACACTCCTATTAACTATCTATAACATCTGACCAAATTCCAAAATTGAAGTATCTCAAGTGTTCCTCTGCCAGACTTTTCATTTATGCTTTCATCTCATATCAGAGTGCTCTAAAACACAGCAACTAGCAAACTAGCAAAAACTTGGCACGAGCCAACTGTAATAGCAGAAATATAAAACCTGCATTACAGGAACAATCATGTTAAGGATCATTAGGATGTTACTTGTACTCATCTCACGCTTCTTTCTTAAATGGCTGCTGAGTGATTATGGACTGCAGGTTTAAAACAAAAGACCAAAAACCTCATCACAAGACTATTTTGCTTCTCATTACTTTAAAAGTCCATTTAAACCTCTGTGATTTTCCAATAATAAATACTTCATCTTCCATTACTTCAATCAAGCTCACCTAAACAGAATACCAATGTCAATACACAGTTAAATATAGTAGCATTTAGAAAACTACTTACATATGTATTCTGGAAAGGTGTACAACAAATTTGTAGATGTGAAGCTTTATTTCTGCACAGAGTTACTGAAGGTTTTAACATGTCTAACTCTGCATGAATGCATGTATGCTAACTGCGCATGGAAAACAAAAGGTGTGCAAGTGCTCACACTTCATAACACATTCCAATCTGGTAGAGGAAAACAGTAAGAAAAGCGGACACTGAGAAACTCAATATATGTTTTAATGATGCCTTTCAGTATTGTGACATGTATATAAAAACCCCAAATTAGTTTGTAAGATGTCAGAACGGTAAGACTAAAGGACATAGCCTCAGCTGCTTTTCATTTTCAATTTCTGCATTATTTCCTATTGTTATCCATATCCTTAACCCCCATTCGGAATTTAGCACATGTATTTGTAGTTTAATATAAAGATATGATAAATATTGTTAGTATTTTTTCACTTAATCAGAAAACTTCCCATTTCAATTGAGACTTTACAACCTTTAGGAATGCTCAACAGTTTTCAAAGAAATACGTATCTTATTTCTGTACGTGCTTATTTATGACCAGGTATAAAATGACCCATCCTATTGTTTCAAGTTATCTACCTAATCCCTTAGCTCAAATTATTTGTAAGAGTTTTGGCTTTTACCCAAAATATACATAAAAATATCTTTGTAAAAACTGAGCAATGTATCTTCACCTAGAGAGCATTCAATATTCTAAGAGCTAACATATGTCTCAAAGATATATAGCATCACCACATAAACAACACAGTAGATTATTTTTCCATTCCTTCTTGCAAGCATGAAATTCTCCACATATTCTATGCCAGCAGTACCCACTGGACTTGTAGTATGCAAGTATTATCTACATATATTTTTTTCTTCTCCAGAATATGACAAGAAATGTAAAATGATCTCAGTTAGGAATAAAGGATAATACTTGTGTTTTAAGAATAGTCAAATTAATTAACTGTTTATCTGCTTTGTAGCTGCAAGACAGAATGCCATAGTTAACAGAGACATTGCACTGAAACCTTAGCTTCTCAATTTTACAGGCAAACCAAAGAACTGGAAAAGTCATATATGTATTGTATGCAATTAATTTAGACTCCTGAAACAAAGCAATTCAGAGGCCTTGTATATAATAATGTCTTTACCAATTGTGAAAAATATCTCTTACTACTGCTACAGAAGTAGACAGATCAAATACCATAAAATAATTAAAGCTGTTCCCCCTAATTTGCACAAAATGAAGCTGAAGCACATCTGGGGAACAAAAATTATTCTCAGCAAATTAATTTCCTAAAAACAATGTCTTATGACAGTGAAATACAGACTTCCACCATGCCATGTGCAGAGCACTGCTTTGAATCCATGCCTAATTGAGTGAAGATCTGGCACATTATTCTGGCCATACTGATCATATATTCAAATAGTTGCTGAACTCTGCAGCAGATTGGAAGTGTTACAGGAATTCAAGTACATTTAAAATACATGTACATTTTGCTATACCGAATTGACAAGTGAGTAATAAAATGACAATGTTTTTCCTTACATTACTTTGATAAGTAATGGATTACTTAAGTTAGTAAGTTACTTTGATAAGTATGGATTACTTCCATACATACTTACTTCGATAATACATGTGATTTACGTTCTGCTCAGTTTAAATATGCAGCAAAACTTTGGTGGTTAGATATTGTCATTACATTGTAGAACTGACAGCTAGGAAGTTACAGGTTTTGACTGCTTGGCTGGACACATGGGACTGCTAGTATCTGGTGAGGTATAGATGGCTTTTGGAATCTGGTAGGTGGCTTAGGCTTCTGGTACTGGAGAGGAGAGGCAACTCTTCTCCTCATTCTTGACTTCAGAACAAGTACTGACCTGAACTTTTGTTTGGAAAACAAGGTATTGTATGTCATCATTAAGTTGAGATGCCCTCCACAATCTGATCCTAGCGATCCTAGCTAAGAAAAGCCACCCCAGGTAAAGGTTCCTCCTTGATCTACTACTGAAGGTGCAGGCCCAGATTCAACAACGCCCATAAGCACCCTTTGATGTTCCACTGACTACAAGAGGAGCAAGCCAAAGTCAGTGAAGCACAGTGACAGTTAAGCACAAGCTTACATACCTTCCCGAACAGACTGCCGTAAATAACAACTGATACTTAGGCATTACTACTTTCTCTTAGTCACATGATAAAAATCTAGGAGATATATATTAACTATCTGATAACATTTGGAGTGCAGTTTTCTTTTTAAATCCATCTTGATAGTCTCTCTCATTAATTGCTAGCTGATACAGTATGTTTCCTGTGTTAAACCACATTCTGCTTTGGACAGTAAGCTTTTCAGACAGACACCACTTTTTAATAATCTACAGAAATCTGAGTATGCTGAAAACTTGAGACCCAATTTTGCTTTACATTCAGCAGCACTATAAATAAATGGAATTACCCACAGGCCTGACTATCGCATGAAATTAATGTAACATGCAGTGAATGCATTCAAACTAAAAAGCCAAACATGGCAGCTCTTGATCCATGCTTTTTTGGCAGTACGGTATGATGCATGTATGCTCTGTGAAAAATACTGCTAAAGCAACCCTCAACGCTGCATTGTCCCTCTTGAATGCTGTCAATTTTCATGAAGACCAACAGCATTCATCACCACGCAGGACTAAGCTCATAATGAATCAAGAAAAAAATGCCAGAAACTTTAGAGTCATATGTGGTTTTAAAGCACTAAGACAAGAATTGTTAAGTCAGCATGTGTAAGGGAACCATAAACTATGTGCAGTACATTGGCTACAAATTACAGGTGGAATACTGGTTCCAAATTCAACAGATGATTTCAGTGGTGCCAGGATTTAATCCTTATTGTTACAGATATATTACATGGGCAGAGTTTTACTGAATCACAGAATTTTTATTGTTGATGCAGCTTATAGTTTGGAAATATAAACTGTCAAACCTAATGCACAAGACTATTCTTTTTGTCTAAAGTAGTAAGAGAATCCAGCAGTCCAGTTTAGAAAAAATGCTTTGTTAGTTAAAGGGAACAGGGATTCACCATGTAGAACTGCAATGCAATTCAAAAGTAGAACTGAATTTTAATGAGCCGATTTTAGAAAAATAATTCATTTTCACTAGATAAGCTGAATAAAGTTTATGCATCCATATATAAATACAATATTAATGCAATTGAACTATTAAAAATGGTAGTTTTTAATCAAAGAAAACCTATTCCATGTTAATTGATATTACAACCAATGTCCTTTATATTCAATCTCAGCAGAGTTAAAAATCTAAGTAAATAAACCGACAATTTCACAATGTACTGATTATTTCTAATATAATTATATGCTGCCTTGAAAGAAAGGTGAAAAAGCCATAGTCCTATTTGGAATTTCCGATGTAACTTTTAAAAGTGTTTAAACTACAAGTTTTAACTTCACAGATAAAGCCATCATCTGGAGCATTAGTCAAAATGACATATTTTGCTGGAATAAATGCCAATATGACACTAATTACTTACTTATTACTAACAGCATATCA